ATAAACAGAAATAAGTTTATTTAACTTATTTCATAGGTGACTTTCATATGTCTTGATGTCATACTATGATATTGCACATCTGATTTTATCATAGTACTTCCCTCTTTTTACTTCCTTTTCCAGATGTCTTTTTCCTAATTCTTCCAGTTTACTGCCATAAAATCTTGAATTTGGGTTAACGGAAAATCCTTGAGCCAACAGAAATAAGGAGCATCCCTGAGACAATTCCAGACTTTGTTAGATAGCATAGCTGAATGTAACTTTCTTATGCATATGTGCCCAAAAGAAATTTCAATTCTGTTTTAGGGATTTTTTTTTTAAGTGATGTAAGCTGTTATAACAAAACCACTGTGGAATAGGCTTAGAGATACCTTACAGGGAAGCTGGGATTCTTAAATACCTACATTCTTATTAGGTAAGATTATTCTCATTTTCTTCTTATCAGAGACTCCCCTTTTTATATTTCAATTTTAGCACATTATGTATATATTCAATAAGCTTATCTTTAGACATCTGTTTGTTACTACCAGTGCTAATTGTAATTGTACTAAATTTGGTATAATAATCAGCACTGCTGAAAGCATAGAGTTCCTCTGATTTGGGAAATTTTGATCTAGTTCTTAGGAAAGTGAATACAGCTTGTAAGTCAAATATTTTATCTTAATTGTATGGTTGTATGTAAGTGACCTTTCAAAGTCTGTCATCCTTCTGCCCCATTCCAGAAAAGTATGATACTTGATTACTCACCCGCTCCTTTGCTGTAACATGTCTGACTTGGAAATCCGCACATGCAGTATGGAAGCACTTACCTGGTTTCTGAACTTGGCGCGTTGGCTCTTGCCACAGTTTTCAGACTGATTAGAGTAGTTGTAGTGAGTAAGCGGTACAGTCTTTAGCCTGAAGGGAAATGCTTAGGCCTTTAATAGCTTTTAAAAACCTAATATTTTGCAGTTCAAAGTAAATATTCTAATAAAACAGACGTTTGTGGGTGTTAAAAGGTTTTCTGAGAAGTATTGAATTCTTGGTTGTCTTGTAGTATTAACCCAAGCGTGTTGATAGTTACAGTAAATGTTTTCTATTCTTGTAACAACACCTGTTTCCCCTTTAGCAGAAAACACTGAACCAAAACAAGAGGCTTCCTTTTAATAAAAAAATACATAAACGTAGAATTTTTCCACGAGGAGTATCTACATCTTTCTTGGATGATGGCATATGCTTTACAATAGATAAACCGCTGTAGTTCAAGATGATAAATTAATTGGGATATTTTTTGTTCTTCTGTATGTTCTAGCTTGATGGATGCTGTCTAAAGGGTTCATGTGATAGCGTAGATCTGTTTAGCCTCTCTTTGGATCACAAGCATTATTCTATCTTAAATAATAAAATGAATTTTAAAAAAAGTCGGTGATGTTATATCTGAGCTGAAAGATTGCATGCAATCCTTTCTAAATCCCCAAGGAGGTCTCTCATCTCTCCAGCTTGCTTTTAAGTCTGCTTCTGTCGGGGACCCTCTCTTGCAGGCTTCCTGTTCCTTCACTCCGTGCTTGTCCTACTCCCAGCCCCACAGCGTTTTCCCATTTGAGCCCAAGTATTTCTGTCAGGGGAGGAGTAGTCTTCCCTCCTGCCACAGGACTGCACGTGATCCAGAGTACACCAGCACCAGAATAGGCAGCTTTTTTCCCCCAAAGTTGAGCTATGCACTTTTTTTTTTGGCAAAACATTCCATCTGAGATACTTGTAGAGTGAACAGGAAATTAGCAAAGGTTTATATTGCCCAGCACTACCCAGAAGGTAGGATCACTTGTTTAATGCTGATGAGAAATGAAATTGAGAGATGACATAGCCCACCACTTTTATTTATATCCCACCCTAAACAATTAAGAACAATAAAAATAGTAAAGCTATAATATGTGTGGGTTTCATGAACAGAAATGGTTCTTTAGTAACTATATACTTGGTTTAAATCATTGGCTGAAACAACTATCAAATGTTTCTCTGACCTTGAAGCAATCAATGAATCATGCACACAGTGAATATGACCCAGGGGTTAAATTTTCTTCAAACTAAATTGTTAATCTGACATACTAAAGAAAGATAAACTATTTCACCTTGTATGGGAGTTAATAAGACAATTAGCTAACTCTAGAGAGAGATTTATTTTTCTTAAATGACAGCATTATCTTTGGACAGAAGATACTGATGCTGGTCCATGTCACACCTGCTTTTTTTGGCATTTATCTTTACAGTCAGTGGAGTTAGCAGATCACTGCACAGTATTAAATAAGGTTTATGATAAGGATGAACTAATATGCCTGTTTTACACAGGAATAATATTCAATTTAAATTAGATTTTGATTTTAGCAGAATAGTAATGAAAGTTTGAAAAATTATGCATGCATGGTGAGATATCTATTAAGATCTTATGCTTACTCTGGTGCTTTTAGGTCTTTAAAATAACATGATATCTGCAAAGCAGATTTTGAAGTAGAGGAGCACAGGAATGTATATATTAAGTTACCAAAATATAGTTTAAAACTTCAGAGGTTCAGGTAATAAGAAGAAGCACAATCAGAGATTTATACGGTGGTGATACTTAAGAGCTGTAACCATATACAGCCTATATGTGAAATATTGTATATACTATATAAATACATAGCAGAAAACGAACCTGTGCCAACGGGTTTACAACTTAATGGCCTGAAGCTTACTCCTGTTGAATAGCTGCAATGTGAATGCAAAACTGCTTGCAAAGATATCCCTTAAATGTACTGTAGCAAAGACAGAGTAGTGACTGGATGAGTAGAAGAGGAAAGACACTGAAGGGAAACATCACCAACTGAAACTTTTCTGGTAGCAAATATAAAATTCATATTTAACAAAACTAAAAAAAAATCATTCTCTTCTGTATGATATTATAAATGTGAGATGATTGTAGAGGAAGTTAGAGAGGAGAAGGTTGACTATGGCCTATTCAGTGATTTACCCAGACCAAAATTAATTGGCAGAATACAATAAATATCTAAACAAATTGACACATCATACGCTGGAGATGCTTTATGGCATTTAAAATATATGAAAATTTGTTGTGAGGGCTAGTTTGCAACTTGTATGAATAGCACTGATGGTCTCTGTAGGCCGAATCTGCTTGGAGTACTGACATGCCCTGCGGCAGAGCAGAAGCAGAGCTATCAAAGTGGGAAGAACAGTGGGGCCACAAGGCCAGCTACGGTGGAATTTGGATTGTTCACTAAGGGCTTGAGAGGAAAAACTCTTGAGCTTTAAACTTGACTCTTGTTCTAATTTCCAGATTGATTTGAGGGCACACACAGCCTTTCTGATCCTTAGTTTGCCTGGACGAGAACAGGCTGATGCTGTGTATAATAATTATATCTGTGAATGATTGTTTTAAGGTTTTTTTAAATGGGACATGTGTTATGTAAAACCCAACAGTTGTAGTAATAAATCTTTATCACTTGGAGCAGGAGAAGAAAGGTGATCCTACAGCCCAATTCTCCACAGTTCAAAGCAGCATAATGCAAAAACCTAGCGCCAGCAAACCTGCTCTAATACCAAAGCAACGTGGCTGTGTGATTGCAGTGCTGTGCCAAATGTGGAAAGGCAGGTCGTGGGAGCTTGGAAATATCACTGATTTAATGTGACTACAGTGCTTTGAGGTCTGGAGCTAGTAATTCTGTACAATCTTGCATTGGACTGCACAAACATTGAGTCTGGTGCGTTATATAGAGTAGCTATACTATGTTCCATTTTCTGGTATAGATATGCTGAATATGAAGTTTTTCATTTGGATGAATATATTTTAGCATACCAACAGTGTCCCATATTTTCACTCAGTGTTCCTTGCAAGTGCTTTGAAAACAAAAAAGCCCAAAACAGAAAAAACCTTGGGATTTTCAGATGCTGAAAATGAACAGAGGACACATGAACAGAAGACAGACAGTGCATGACTCAAGTGGCATGCAACACTTCATTGTCTTTCTCTTTTCATAGTACAAAGCTGGATATACTGACATATCATTTGAAATCCTAGGGATTTGATAATTTTGGTTTTTTTAGTTTAAGGGAAAAGAGGGACAGAAACCTAAAGACCCAAGAATAGACCTTTTCCTAGCTGAGATGACAGGAAGGATGATGCCAAAGACTTGGAAAAAAGATATGATTTCAAGAATTAAAGTGACCTGGCTATAAATTTTGAAAGAAGAATGAGGAATCTGCAATAGTCACACTTGGGTGTGTCAGCAAGCAAAATATTGCTTCAAAACCCAAATGACCCATGGGAGATAGCAGTATAACCTTCATATGCATAGAAATAATGCTCCTTAAGTACATGTAGATGGGGAGTGTAATAAGAATAAGAATTATGTGCTCAGTAAGAATCAGGTACTCAAGCATTACAAGACATGACATAGAAACATATACTCAGTTCCTAGAGAACAGTCATACACAGAAAGCAAATGAAGAGTGTCATTTTTATTTCACATATTCTTCAAACTAGAGTTTTCAACAGGAATGCACTATTCCCTTATGCATACTCAGAGCCTTTTTCTTTAGTTTTGTTAATTATTCTAATGCAAAAGTTTGACAATTTGATAATGCCATTATTACCATTACCAGAGCTACAGTTAAATCCTCCAGTATAAATTAGCAGCATTTATATTGTACTATGAAATAATTATCTTTAAACAACATACAAGACTATAGGGCTCACTAAATAAAAGAGGAATTTTAGATCACCTAGGAAAGTAAATTACTTGGTTTTGTTATGCCTGGTCCTGAATTCCTAAAGTTAAATGTGGTCCATGGTTTCGCATGGGTAATGGCCTTGCTCCTGAGGTACAGTTCAGGTTCTGTGTTATTCCAGTACCTTACATGGAAAAGGACAAATCTTTTAAAATCAATGTAGCGTGTTAAATCACTCTCAAAAGTTTCAAGGTATTTGATAACTAATGCTTTTTTGTCATGTCTTTGTTCATTATTTTCAGACAACGTCAATGCAGTGGACGTATGAAATCAATGGACTGCCTCCACAGACCATATCACCTACAAGGCCAGCAAAAGTGGTTTCTACTAGCAGTTACATGAGATCAGCCACAGTTCGACAGCGCAATTTTGTACGTGAAAATCTAAAACTTACAACCACTGCAGTATCCTCACCAGTCAAAGGTGCACCTGTGATCCTGAGGACAACACAGAGAAACCTGTGATAATTTACCTTTGGTGAGGGCAGGGGGAGGGTTGGCACTTTTGTGAAATAAACTCTGCAGATACAAAGAAGAGATGTTTTCTGATATTTTTTAAAAGCAGATGTGGTATGCATTGATCGTATACTTTATGTGGAGGAGTTGCAGTGCCTGAGCTCTAGTAATGCTCTTATTTTTCTATAAGAACATAAAAGTAACAGAAGAGTTCTGGTGAAAAGTGTTTCAAATGATGGAGGTTTAGGAACTTAATTGCTTAAGCTGATGGAGGAGTTGAATTTTTCGACTGGTGGCAATACTAGGGATTTTAGATGTCTACCTATATCACAAAGCTGTAAGCCAGTCCTTTTATTGAGAAAAGACTGATTTGAAAAAATATAGTTGAAAATTTGGGGACTTAGGTTAATGCTGTGCTTTCTAAGGAATGTAAGTTTTTTTAAGACTGTAATGGGAAGCCTTAATGAACCTTCTGTGTAATGCGCAATGCATTAAACCCGTGCAAACCAAGCAAGCAAACCAATCCCTGATCTCTTTCATGATAAAATGCTCACCCAACGTTTGCCGTATTTTGCTAATGTTAAACTGGTCCATATGTCACAGGTTCATAGACTGAATGCCTTTCAGTTTCTCTTGATTTGGAAAATTTCATTAATTCTGACATCTCTGCATTGTACAAACAAACAGTCCTGATCTAAGCATCCCATAACACTTCAAAATCTTAGATTAATACACATAACATGGAATGAAAAAAAATTCCTTCCTCATTATTGATGTGTGGAGTCAATTTTACAGTGTGTTTTAGAATACTGATATATAAAAGGCTATGAAAAGTCAGTGAAGAATGCAGCCAGATTTTACTTTTTTCTAAAATAAACAAATCAGAGGTGCAACTCATATTGTGCTTCCATTACCATTCTTCCTATCCACGGCTACCTTTATATGGGTGTTCAGGCTTGCTTTATTTCTGATCTAATATGGGTAATTAGATCTGTGCAGTCTTGATTTGAAAGATCACTAAGTAAATCTGCTCTACCTTCTTTCTTCACCGAGATTGTTTTTGCTATTTTTCTTGTAGAATGTAAATTGTGTTTGTGCCTTTATTGTAATGGTGGAATGTAACAAAAAAAATGGCTTGGCACGTAGTAAGTGCTTTCTTGGCACAAATACAGAATGAGCATTGTTACTGAAGAATGGGGAGCCTGGCAACAACCTAGGTAAGTCAGTGTAAATGAGCACCAATAAAACCATTATACCACAGTGCGCTCAAGGATTTTGTTTATCCCACACATTTTAGAAAAGCTTTTACAAAAAATGTTGGGAATATATAAAATAGCGATGACACTTTTCAATGTGTCCCATTCTGATCAGAAACCAGCTAATCTGAAGTGAGAATAACATCTGCCCTATGAATTCAGTGCCCAGCATAGGAAAGGTATTGTCAGTAGTGATATCCTATATGTATCTAAAAGACAATAAGAAGTTATTGTTATAATATTTATTTTATAGGCTCCCAGGACCACAAATACCACCAGATTTCACAGGAAAGTTCTGTCTCCATATATGAATGAAGCAAGTGTTTCTCTGACCATAGGAAGTCAGAATTTAAATATGCAATGTTTCCACAACTGCTTATTGGTCTTGGTATTCAGGAAATGTTTCAGTGCCAACTTTCCTTTGTATAAGGCTTGTTTTCCTTGTTCTACTTTTTTAAAGTTTTGCTTTGTTTTTTAAAAAGGCACCTGTGTGCAAGATGCTCAAAACTTGGTAATTCTGTGAGAGATTGATTCGTAGGTGGAACACAGGTGAAGCAATCAACAATTAAATGCTGCTCACTCCAGGAATTTTATTTCACAATTAGCTTGCTTTTACCTGCTGTTATAGATAGTAGATTTTCAAGTTCTAACATATATTCAAACATTTAAAAAATCCATAGACAGATATTTATGCAATACTTATGATATCAGATGGGTGGTTTCAAAGGTGCAGTTTAATTATGATATATCTCAAGCAGGAAGCATAATCTGTGATTTTTGAACCCAATTGCAGGTTTTACCAATGTGTGCAAACTCACTCATGAGTTACATAAGACATGCCATCATCAGTTGAATATGTACCTATTCTTAATAGACATACTACATTTTCTTATTTCTTACATGGTTTAAACTGAGCTAAGAGTTATTTTTTCCTGACATCAAGGAAATACTTGCAAAGGTGATTTTTTTAAAAAAAAGACCATTGTATCTGTGTACTCGTAACATCCACAATGCTTTATATATTATCCACATGCATTTATGGATTCCTCTGACTATATATACTGTCTATTAAAAATAAATTCCTTTTCACTTCCTGACTTCATGCTTTCTACATCCATCAGTGAGGTGATTGTAGTTTTTCTAATACATGGGCTAATTCTAAGTCTGTATAATTTTTTTAAAAATGACTTCCTAAGCAGCAGCATTGGAAGATTTCCAGAATGATCCCTTTTTCTTTTTTTTTTACTCCTTGCTCTTTCTAAAAACGTTTGCTAGAATTGCTCAGCCATAATTGAAAATCATGGAGTTTCAACTCATTGAAAGAAGTAATTTGCACAAAAAAGGTTTATAAAATGCTGCTTCTGTTATTTAAATAATTCACTCCAAAGCCTTTGGACCTGCTGGTAAATCAGAGCTTCAGAGCAGCAGGGCAAGAAGCTCAGCATCATGCCACACCTTAAAAATGTAATGTGCCGAAGACCCTAACTGTTGGAGGTAGTCCTAAACACAGGTATTGCAGTTAGGGTTCAGGTCTAAGAAAAGTGGTCCAAATTATCTAGCTTAGAACTCATTCTAAATTACTAACTGTTATCAGAAATTGTTTAAAAGGAAATGGCAAAGTGATGTACGCGTCCTCGAGGTTATGGCTTTTAAAGCAGCCCTCACAATGTTTTGTGGGCCCTTACACTGCTCCAGAGCAAGCAATGGCAAAACTTGGAAAAGAAAATGTTAACTTTGTTTCTCCCCATTGGAATCACCTCTCAGGACCCTTTTCTCCTGAAAAGGATGAAAAAAGGAGTATCACTCCTCACATTAATCTGTTTGCAGGTACAGCAGAATCTCAGAGAAATAGGTGTATATAGGTTATTATTAGAAATAATAACTCTTCTAATAATTAATTCTGATTGGAGATCTAAAATTGCTTATACTCATCCCACTGTATAATATAAACATCACAACCACATAACAAAGCAGGTTTTTCAAAGTCAATATGACATTTAAGGCCAATGTCTTAATCATAGTTTTATGCGATGCACATGAGTCAGCTGTGCATCTGCTTCTTACTGGCTTGAGAGAAATATTAGTTAGCTAACCAGCGTAGTCACCACCTGTTTGTTTATATTTCTTCCTCCCTTATTTCTCTCTTTATGTCTCTTTATAATGATTCATCTCTCTGATTCATCTCTCTGAATAATTAAAAAAAAAGATTAAAACCTTGTCAAGCAACAGTATCGTGTAATGAGGAACTTGTTACTCTGGGAACGGGGTCTGTATTTAAATTTATTACAAAAATACTGTGCAGCTTTCGACATTGCTCCCAGCTATTGAGCTCCTGCTTTTATATGACAACATGTCTGGTAGTGGGGACGATCTGCACTAGAGCATTGCAGGACTGTACAGTCACAGCACTGGCTTCAAAGCAATGTAACAGCACTGAAACTTCTAATTATTTGATGTTTGGCTGAGCAATTTGGCACAAGACCACATAGGAAAATGACACAGGATAACATTGAGCTGTTTTTAGGATGCCTGCTACTAGCAGCTCAGCTTGGAATGGGCTTTGCTGTGCACAAGTCAGAAGATTTTTCAGATTTCCAGCTCAGATACCTGATCTCACTAGTTATCAGAAAGGGTTTAGAGATCAAACTTGCTTTTCAAGAGTAATGAGAGCCTACCATTAGCTCATGCATCAGCACAGATTTTGTCTGAGTCAGAAAAATTGAGACATAAAGACTGCTTTAAGCACAGAGAGTAATCATGATCAAGTAAAGAGTCTGTTGAGGTATGGGACTAGATACATTTCTACTGCAAGCTGCAAGGGAAGGTATTATTCTAAGATAGCTCTTTGGGACCAAGGCCAGGTTGACAGAGGATATAATGCTGAACCAACTATGTTCCTGCTTGAGTAAAATGACATGGCAGCAGTCAAATCTGAGCATGCTGTTTTTTTTCTCTTTGATCACAAACCCAAACTGTCTAAAGAAACAGAAACTTCAGAAACTACCTTTCTCCTCATATGCAGCAAACAGCAAAACAAAATAAAAATCTCAGTAGAATGAAGATTCCTAAGAAGCCTTAATATTTAGAATGAGAAAGAAACTTTGCCTCAATATTTGTTTGCTTGTGAGATGTTTAATAATTGCATTTCTCCCTGCAGTGAATGCTCATTTTAAAATACATGACTAACCGGTGTCCTACTGCTGACACAGACCACAGTTTGTTGCTAATGGAATGTTAACTGCTTTTTAAGTAACTCTGCATAAACCTGCTGATCTACAGAAGATTCATCTAAAAAGGAAACCGGTTCATCTACTAGCTTTTCTGCTTCCACGAATGTGAAACGTTCTTCCATATTTTACTTTATTGCAGTCACTGTAATATTGATAGTGCCATATGTCCTATAGTAGTCTTTTTTAAATTTTGAGACCCTGGCATGAGTATGGCAAGGTCACAGACTGTCCAAATAGCACTGCTTGCCGTCTAGAAAAATGAAGAGAAAGATATTGGGCAAGCAGCTGTTTGCTTTAGTCCAGGCTTTTCCTCTACACTGCAAATATCCAGTTTCTCATTTGCTGAGGTCCAAAAAAAAAAAAAAGAAAAAAAGAAAAAAAGAAAAGAAAGAAATAGTGCTGTCAGTGGAGAAGCCAGTTTTCCAGAACAGGAAAACCTGATAACTCACTACTTATCCCATCATACAAGCAAACAGCAAATGCCACCAAATCAGACTGGCACAAGTCTAAGTGACAACAGAAAATCATATATAGTAAAGGATGAGGTAGCAAAGTAAAACCCTGCCACTTATTTAATGAATGGTGTTGCTGTTCATGTTTATGAAACAGAAACAAAACACATGAAATTCAGTGCACCAATCTGTACAAAATTCAAAGGCTCAATTTTGCTATTAATAATAATGGGCTTGCAGGATGTCTTTACTTTGGGCTATACATTTGATATCAGATATGCAAGCTGTAAAAGGTGCCTGCTTCCTGACTCTGCATCTTCTCAGTCCTGGTACTTTAATAATGCTGAAGTGGAAAGTTTACATTACAGATTAATGAAAACCTGCAGCTGTCATTCTCAAAAGGAGAGATAACAACTAATTCCCTTCCCCCCCACCAAGCTTCTCTAAGAGAAGCATCTCAAGAGAGCAAGCTTTCATTTTGAAGAATGTGCTCTGTGAAGAAACATTGCTGATGAGCTATTAATAAACAGGCTTCAAGGTGAGATATGGAATATCCATATTCTTTGATAAATATAGAGTAAATTTTTCTAGTACTGTTTAGCTTTTAGAAGCCATAGCTTGGGATCCAGTATTTAGTGTGATGGGCACCCATGCCAACAATCTGGAAGGCTTTTAGCTGCTTTATATGAATGGAGAGAGCAAAACCAAACCTATTAGGTTATTGTCGTATATATTCATTAGCATCCAAAGTTCATTTGTGAATAGTTCTCTA